TTTATTTCAGGTACAGAATCCATACGCTTAACGTACCATTGCATAACATGAGACACAAAAACGCATAATACAAAACACATACGCATACTTTAAAGTTAAAAAAAAAAAAAAAAAAAAAAAAAAAAAAAACCTTGTAACATGAACTAAACAACAAACGGTCGTCGTCAAAATTAAAATTCAAAACGACGTCGTATAGAACTAGGTTGTACAATGCACTGGGTCCACGGTATAATGATTGTTGTTTGGGCTCAAATTATTCTATGGACCCCAAGGTGGACCCGGGTCTAAATGTTCACAATTTGTATACTACGAACACACAATATTAACATAGATTACTTTGTTTTGTATTCACAAGTTCCTTTCAAATACTGCAGTCACACAATATTAACGAATTAGGATTTGATGACTCAATATTATATTCACAAATTCCACTCTACCTTTGTTATGTGTTTTGATTTAAAAACACAATTTATATTCTAAGAGTTCACAATTCTAATATTATAAATTCACAATTTATACGTCGTTTAAAATCAAAATCTATCTTGCAAACTGGACCCTGTTCCATGCTATAACAACTCTGGTTTGGGACATTGGACTTATGTTTGCAAATTAGCCAAAAAAAAAAAGGGACTGAAAATTTTAAGTACTCCATATTTAATTACTCCGGTATATTAGTTTGGTTTCTTTTAGGTATAGTAAATGCTTAAAAATAATATATGCGATATCTTGTGATTTAAGATTTGTTGTGAGAAAACAAGTTTCGAATTAACTATTCAACCATTGCCTACGCTTTTTTAAAGTATTATTAACTTTATTAGAAAGTAGTATATGTTTTATACTTTTTCTATCTATTGCAATTCAAAAAATCAATACTCCACCATTGGAATTTGATCCTGTAACTTTCATTTAAAGAGAGTCACAGAGATGTCATCTGAACACAAAGTGTTTGGCCAATCATTACGAACTTGAGATGATTAGAAATATAGATTATGTTTTTCAAAAACCACCAAAAACGAAAAGAAGGTGTTTGATACACCTATGATTGTATAATAATTATAGAAAGTATTTGTGGAGTTGTTTAATTAGTAGGAGAGTTAATTGTGGTCCTAAATTAGTATAAGGATAAATAAATAAATACTATATATATAAATAAATAAACAAACGATATATATATATATATATATATATATATATATATATATATATATATATATATATATATATATATATGGGCATGATCAAATGAGAATCACATCTCCTGTACAAACATACGAATTACTTATTGTGTATCTTGTAATGCATAATTATATATTTTTTGTAATTTATACATCTTGTAAGTTGTAATGCCTAATTGTGCAGTTTGCACAGGAGTAGTGGTTCTCAATTGATTTTGCCTATATATATATATATATATATATATATATATATATATATATATATATATATGATCAAAAGAGAATAAGACTTTAGGAGAGAAATAAGAACAAATCTCAATCTTACATCTGGAAAAATCAGACGAATCAGATCAAATTAAAAAAAAAAAAACGTAGCATCATTTTCGTAATTATCACCAACTTTGCTATACAAACGTGAACACTAAAATCTACAATTCTTAAACTTTTCTAGGTTTGCACATTTTGCATATTTAGTATTAAAAGATTGCAATTGTAAAGATGCAAAACTACATTGCACTTAAGGTTTCGATTTTAGAGTTCATGACTGAGTTTTTATTTTTATTTGGTTTAATGGTTCACTTTTTACTTCTTAAGGTCTAGCATTTATAGCTTAAATTTAAAATTTAACTTTTTCGTTGATTTTATAAAATTTACCAGGTTTTAATATTTAATTAATTGTTAAGGATTGCATATTTAATTGTTCAAATTTGCATAGTAAATTTGATGATAATTGTAAAAATGCTATCGCGTTTTTTTTTTAAAAAAAAAATCTAATAAGATCCTTTAAATTTTTATAAATATAAGGTTGAGATTGGTTCTTATTTCTCTCCTATGTATTGTTCTTACAGAATCCTTAGCATATATATATATATAGGTACGGCTGCGCCTTAACGTGCGACCGCACCAATAGTTATGCAAATATGCACAAACAATGTTAGGAAATGCACAACACAAATATGCACCATTAGGTACGCATCACCAAAAAACGCACTATTAGGTATGCATAAAAGCACCACACAGTGTTCAGAAATGCACATTTAGGTGTCTGGAGTTATGGTGCACTATTTTGGTTGTGTTGTGCATTTTTTTAGTGTGTATTTGTGCATTTCATTGTTGTGTATTTTCCTAACACTATTGGTGCCTTTCTCAAGCGATCGCACCGACCGTACGGAAAGACGCGGCCACATTTGAGCATAAGTCTATATATATGTGTGTGTGTGAGAGAGAGTAATATATATATATATATATATATATATATATATATATATATATATATATATATATATATATATATTAAGAAGAGTAATGATATTATTATCTAGTGATGTTTACTGGAATATCGGTAAACATCGCTAGAGAATGATTGTTGGAAAAATTAGATAAAATTGACATTTAAAATTATCATTTTATGGTATAATTTTCAGTGGAATTCACTTTTTATTTAGGTTGGGTCAAATTGAATTTGAATTCTGATAGTTAAGAAGATGAATTTGATATATTTTATGACGTTCAAAATAGATAATGAGTGAAATTAGAAATTGATTCACAAAATACACCTATTTAAATTGAAAAAAATTAAATTAAAAAAGCTTTTAAATAACATTTGTTTCAAATTAAAAAGGGACGTGGTTTGCACTAGTATATACAATTCATCTTTTAAAAAAAAAAAGATTGAATTGTATAATATAAAACACTTTCTCACGCACAACACTAACCTTTTTAGAATTATTTCTCAATGAATTATTTTATTTTCTAATATCATTAGGCTTCTTAATTTTCTTTCACTCTTTTACTATATTCCTCTGTCATCCTCAATTTCTATATCCCTATTGATTCTTCCATTCCTCATTTCCTTTCGGAAGTTAGCACTCACTCAAAGTAGTGCCTATCTTAATACAAAGTCTAAAGTGTCATCTCGCACCCTAAACCATTATTGATTATTCATGCCGCACCATGATATTTTGAGTCATAAATCAGACTTTTTTTTTTCATTTAACCTTTTTTGCAGGTTACCTACATGTTACCGGTAATAAATGCTGACATGGATTTTATTTTTTATTTTTTATTTTTCTCTTAACACCTTGTCTGCTCCGGTTACGAATCAACACCTCGCTTACGTCAAATTAGTTTCTGTTTGTAAGTTTATACTTCAAATTTTCTACGGGCCTGCCGGACAATATTATAAAGATATGGATTTTTCCAAGATTATGAACTGCGAGAAGAGTCTCGTAATCGCTGACCTGTGGCCGGACAAAGCCAAATTTCGGAAGAACAAATTTATTATATAAATAGCCTAGTCCCTGCCTAACCCTTTGTTGTCAATTGAATTATATACCGTACATTATTAAAAACCATAGAATTAAACATAGACCCAATTTTTTTACCTTAAATAATCAGATTTCATCAGAGTATAGTAGAATCCGGGCTCAGAGTATAGAAGATGGGGCAATCTTAGACAGAGGATTTAAATTTATATTTTGTGAATGCGATTTAAATTGTGATATTCTTGGTGTTTTGAATGTACAATTTAGGGTGACTGAATATGTGCTTTTTATGCATCCATTGAATGTTTGTTGAAAACTGAATTAATTTGTGGTTTTTTTTGAAAGTAAAATGAATCAAACAATGACTCTGGAAAATGATTGAAACGGCCTAGTCTAGGCCGTGTATAAATATTTTTACAATTAGAAACGGCCTAGACTAGGCCGTTTATGTACATGATTGTATTATTATTATGATTGTGACTATGTGCATGATTGTTTTTAATTCCTACTCTTTAATAACATGATTGTTATTATGATTGTGGCATAATGTATGTTTATTATTTTAGTGTATTTTTTTTTTCTATATCATGATTGTTATTATGATTGTGGCATAATTTATGTTTATGATTGTAGTGTAATTGTTGTATGATTGCATAAATATTAGAGATAATGTAGTTTATCATTATGTAATTTGTGAATTTTTTTTATAACTATGTGATTATCATAAATACAAATTTATAATACTAATATATGACATGAATATAAAATTAATACAATTCATGATAATAATTTATATACAAATACTAATATATGGCATGATTAAAACTGTTTCATCATTGATTGTTATTTAGGATAGTTATGGCACAACGAGTGAATCCTGGACCTATTGATGGAAGTGTGCTAACGTTTCAAAGGCAACATCGTAGTAGAGCAATTTGGAGCGAACCCAACTACGATTGTGAAGTGAAAGTTGCACGGTACGATACCGTAACAGTGTGCGATGCCGCACTTGATCCTCGAGTGCAAGAACATCTACGTACTGCCGGATTTTACGGTATTTCTCGTTTGACGTCCATTAAATTGGACCATGGGCTAATTACTGCACTTCTTGAGGGATGGCGGGCGGAAGTGCATGCCTTTCATATGCAATTTGGTGAGGTTGGAATAACACTTCAGGATGCGGAAGTGTTATTTGGGCTGAAGGTGGACGGGTTGCCAGTGTCGGGAGATGATACTGTATATGAACCAGCTGAAGTTGTGAGAAATTGCTTTGAACTGCTTGGATTTTATTTGGCACCGCAATTCATGACCAAGACAAAGATTAAAGGGACTGTGGTTCCGGCGGTTGGCCAGTTAAACGAGGGTAGCACACAGGAATCGGTGATTTTGGAAACACGCCGTTTAATTTTTCATTTATTAAATGGTTTTTTGTTTTCGGACACAAGCAAGGTGTATTATAAAACATACTTGCTAGAGTATATTAGAAATTTTGACTTATGTGGACAATACAGTTGGGGATCGGCTTTTTTGGGATATTTGTACTGTTCCTTGTGCAGAGGTGCTAGGCTGAGAGCTTCAACGGTTTGTGGTTGTTTTCTTCTTCTACAAATTTGGGCATGGGAGAGGTTGACAATGGTATGACCACATCGTGTTCTGCCACTCACAGAGATCTCAGATTACCCTCTTGCATATCGGTAAGTATCCTTTTACGTATTACATGTACTAATCATTGTAGAATTATATTATATTTTGTTTGCAATGTTATTGTTGTAGGTGGGTGTGCACACACACATGGGGTATAGTGCCAAATCACACCACAATCGCATACCGTGACCAATTCGATCGCTTATTGGAACAAAGGGTAAGTTGAAAAAAAGTCTTGTTTTTTTTTTTTTTTTTTTTTTTTTTTTTTTTTTTTTTTTTTTGTATTGATAATATATTCGTAAGTTAGTAATCCGGAATTATAATATTTGTTTACATTTCGTGTTTACTCCATATGCTGGATTGATCGAGGAACTGCCATTTTACTGCAAGGCCGGATCGGCGCTTTGGACATCCCATGTGCCACTTATCTTCTATCATGTTGTGGAATATCATTATCCGGAGCGATTTTTTAGGCAATTCCATGGGTTACAATTTCCCCACCATCTGTGGTATGAATCATAACCCCGAATGGGTAAAATAAATATGGTGGATTCCAAAATGTCACTGCATGGAATGTGGACACCAAGCAAGGAAAACCGTCTTTTGTGGAGTGCATTTCTCTCCTATAGAGACTCGTTATCCGCGTTAGCGATTTAAGCTTGCCGTATGTCCACCGTATTTTGTAATTCATTTTTTCATTTAGAATATGTAGTCTATGTAGTCTTCGTATTCCAGTGTTGTATTCCAATTTAATATAATATATTATTCCAAGTTATCCGTGTCAGACTTTTAGGACTTTGTTTTTAGCAATGTTGTATTCCAATTAAATATGATATATTATTTCCATTTATCCGCGTAGACTTTTAGGACTTTGTTTTTAGCAAAGTCCTATTCAGACTTAGTAGTCTGTGAGTTTTAATACTTTTAATTGAGCCCGTTTGTCATTTTGTGTGGCTGTAGCAATCAGAATTCATCTGATTGCTACAGTCATACGAAAAAAAAAATTGTTATATAAGTAAATTTAAAAATTTTTATGACATTATTTAATTAAAAGTGTTATTTTGATGTACTTGTAAGTAAAAAAAAAAAAAAAATTACTAGAGTGTTGAACTAAAACATTCGATTTTATTAATGATTTAATTTTGGACATTGCATAGAAGAGTGTGTTGTCTTTCGACAATACTTACATTTTGTTCTGCGATTGCTACTAAAGTCCATTTCATTGGGAAATCTTGTTGTTCATCGTTGGCCTCTTTGTGTTCGTCGCTTAGCGTTAATAGGCGGAAGGTAAGTGATATGATTTGACCACTGAGTATGTTCGACCAATGGATAGAAATTACCTGCGTAAGCATTCTTGTAGTTTTGGACGGAGTATACTTGTGGCACGAATTGGTAAAATGCCTCCCTTCGGAAATTACAAGCTGCTATCACATGTGCACACGGTATTCCGTCCATGTTCCACTTGCCGCAGTTGCATGTACGTTCAGCCAAGTTGATGTGAAAATGATGGTGTAGACTGTGAGCCATGTATCCAGAAATTATAGCAACGCCGTAAATGCCAAGAGTGTCATTATATCTTTCAATGCTTGCATTTTTTGACTCATTTTCTCTAGCAACCAAATCTTCTTGAATCTTTGGCATGAAAAACATTTGCTGTTGATGCATCATCTCCCCCGCAGTACGCCTATCGGCAAACATTGTTCGTAACTTGTGAAAAGTTATTCGTGCAATTGCCGTGACAGGCAATATTCGGCAACTCTTAATCGAGTTATTAAATGACTCAGATAGATTGGTTGTCATAATGCCGTACCGATGACCCCCATCGTGACATAATGTCCATGCCTCTTCATCGAGTGCTGCCAGATAGTTGTATGCATTGGGCCAATTTTGTTGGATGGTCTGCATGTTTTCATTGAATTGATTTGTTGTAACAGCAGTACCAGCTTCCCATATCAATCTACGTAACCACCGATTTCTGCTGACCTTTGTTAGTACATTGCTCCGAAGGTGTCGAAGGCAATACCTACATTTCACTCGGCCATGCAATTCTATGACGTCCTTAAACGCCGCTTCAATTCCAGCATGTCTATCCGAAACGATGCACATTGAATCGTAATCGGGAAAGACATGTACAACGAGTAGTCGTAGAAACCAAGTCCAGCTAGCGTTATTTTCCGAGTCAACTATTGAAAAAGCCAGTGGATATATTTCCTTTTTTGCAGTGTATCCGCATGCTAGAAGGAGATGCCCTTTGTACCGGTTGTACAAATGTGTACCATCAATACAAATAACTGGGACGCAATAGCGGAATCCATCAATTGCCGGCTTGAAAGCCCAGAATGCATACCTGAAATGAATGTATTCAGAACCACGTAGTTCGGATGGAATACACTCCATCTCGACAATCGTTCCCGGGTTGGACACTTGCAAGTTACACAAGAATTGGGGGAGATCATTGTAGGATTGTTGGAAATTCCCGTACTGCATCTCAATGCATTTTTGTCGGGCGTACCATGCCTTCCTATACGAAATGTCACACTGTAATGTTGGCGCACATATACTTGGATGTGTTTGATTTTGTATTGTGGGTCTGCAGCGATCTATTGGAAAATCAAATCGCTAATTAGTGCGCTGCTGCACATTCTGTCTGCCCCTCCTTGGTTGTATTGTTTTGTGCAGTCATGTGTATCAAAGAACTTTGTCACCATCCATTGAGAAGATGCCCCATGCAATTTCCTTGCTAATAATGTCCAGCCACAAGAAGGTATTGCATGGAAATTTTGACACGAGACTTTCCAATTGTTTTTTTTTTTCTTGTGATTCGTTATGAAGCTCCGCCTCGGATGAATACTCTATGTTGATACAGCTTTTTTTAGTATGGGAAAATCTGGGAAAACCATTCCGATGCATATGACATTTGTTGAGGGGTCATATGACATCATTTCTTGGTCATCCCTCTCTGTAAACCCGTGGCTGAATGTCGTTGTCATTTGTGGTATTGGAGAATGGTAGAAAGGAATAGCAGAATCAGGGACAGTTGTACCTCGACCACCATATTGTTGAGCAGTTTGTCCCATAGTTTGGAAGTCAACTGTAACTGGTTCATCTATGTCCTCGTCCGTAGTATAGTCACTGCTTGATGGTATTGACTCGGGTACATAACTCTCATCTGTCTCCGAAGAAGTTTCCACGATTGTTGAAGAAGATGGTGTGGCATGAGAAGTATAACTCCCGAAATAAGATGCCATAATAAAATATTGAATCAAATTGTGTTGGTGGGTATTGATAAATTGGTTGTGGTGTGTATGGTAAATAGAAAATTTGGATTTGGATCTTGCTTGAACAGTGGTGAGCCTGAAAAAAAAATGAACACATGCGGATGGTAAATAAAGGGGAAGAAGCAAACGGACTCAGCTAGTCCAACTGTTAATTAATTTTAATTTTTATTGAAGTTGCACTCCCCTAGTCCTACTGTTATTTATTTTGTAAATTTTATTTGAAGTTGGACTCCCCTAGTCCAACTGTTTAAAGTTTCCATCCATATTTTATGTTCAGTTAATGATAATAAGCATACATTTGCGCAATTTTTTTTTTTTTTTTTTTTTTTTTTTGCGAATATTTTGTTTGAAATAGAATATTTATATTCAATTAATGATAATAAGTAATCATAGTAATTTTTATTTTTTTAACAATACACATTGAAGTAATGATATAAGGATACATAGTAATTTTTTTTACTTTGAAAGTAGATGTTTATATTCTTCAATGATTGCATCAACTCTCATAGCATGTTCATGAGTCTCCGTGCTATTTCGTGCTGCATACGCTCAAAAATCTCGGCCTTAGAAGTTTTTTTTACATTGTGATTTGTGGTACTACTTGAACTGCATTGTCCTCCGACATCGTTTTGTTGATTGTTTATGAATTTGTTGAAAGCTTGAATGGCTTCATCTTTACTGGTATATGATTTATATAAATTGTCGCTAAATCGATGCACTTGAGCTTTTGCATCCTCACAGTTTTCATATATTCCTGGTTGTCGACCGATAAACACAACATATGTCTTCACCTAATATTCAATATCTTGTTAGGGGAGTACTATTAATATAATGAAGACAAATCAAAGTGAAGAGTACGTACCATTGTAGTTTAAATCACAAGCTTGATGACTTGGTTGAAGTGGTAAAACTACAAACAATATGCTTATTGATGAGCAAAATAGATGTTTCCTCCTTTCCAATATGGTATTCAGGAAACACATAAATTGTATGGTCTTCACGAAACAAAGATATTGATGGTGCTTTAAATAAAGGTATTGTATAATCGGTATGGAGTAGTCCAACTACACTTCAATATTTATTGTTTTAACTATTTAAATATTTATTTATTTTGACATGCTATTATATCACACTTTTTTTGGGGGAAGATATGTTTTGGGAGAAGATATGAGGATAAAGTTGTACTTCCCTATACAAGTCAAACTTTACAATATAATCTGCAAATTTTTTCCAAAAAAAGTGTTGTCATATGAAGTAAAGTTGCATTCCCCCAGTCCAACTTTACAATACAATCACAAATTATTTTCGGAAACAGGCATGCACCAACTTTATTGTTTCGAAAATTGGATGCACAAAATTTGGTTAGTCAAGTCAAACTTTAAGTGTTTTCAAAAAAAAGTAAAACTTTAAGTCACACTTTACAAAAGAATCTGCAATTTTGTTTTGAAAAAAGTGTTGTCATATGAAGTAAAGTTGCACTCCCCCAATCCAACTTTACAATATTTTCGAAAATAAACTGCACCAACTTTATTGTTTCGAAAATTGGATGCACAAAATTTGGTTAGTCAAGTCAAACTTTAAGTCACAGTTTACTTTATTGTTTTGAAAATTGGATGCACAAAATTTGGTTAGTGAAGTCAAACTTTAAGTCACAGTTTACAATAGAATCTGCAATTTCGAAAATTGGATGCACAAAATTTGGTTAGTGAAGTCAAACTTTAAGTCACAGTTGTATGAAGTAAAGTTGCACTCCCCCAGTCCAACTTTATAATATTTTCGAAAATGAGAAGTAAAGTTGCACTCCCACAGTCCAACTTTACAATATTTTTGAAAATAAACTGCACCAACTTTATTGTTTCGAAAATTGGATGCACAAAATTTGGTTAGTCAAGTCAAACTTTAAGTCACACTTTACAATAGAAATTTGGTTCAAACGTTACAATAGAGGTCTGAAAAGAGGTGTGAAAAAGAGGAAAACGAGAAAAAAAGAGGTCAAAGAGGCAACAGAAAAAGAGGAAAAAGGTGTTTGATTTCCCCAGAATTAAAGTTGCACTCCCCCAGTCCAACTTTACACTACAATCACCGTTTTACGAAAATGAGATGTGTTGAACGGCATCAAAATTACATTAAATTCAAAACAAAACCTTTAGATGTGAAAATGTCTGGTTTCACATTAATATAAGTTAATTTAATGTGACCTATAAAACCACTCTAGTCAATTGCTCTATATAATAGAATTACTTGCATAGTGATAGCTGAAAAAAGTGTTGTTAATATACCAAAGTTGTCAAATAATGGATATGTGGAGATACTTTAGTTCAAACGAGATAGAGATGAATAATGAGTTGGAGAGTATTGAGTATTTTGTGCATACTATACACAATTGGAAGTATGCTATGTTCACATTAATTAGACAGAGCAGAAGAAGCAATTACATGCTTGTCGTCTCACCATCGTGGCTGATGTTGTCGAATGTTTTAGGATTTTCCGTAACATTCCCCATTACAATCCGCAGCAGAAGACGTGCAGACGAATTCGTCCAAAGTGTTATTTGTGGTTCAATTGCTTATAATTTCCGCATAGACCGTTGTATGACTTTAAAAATACTTACGCACATACCGTATTCTTTATTAAAATGACTAATATTATATTTAATATTTTTTTTGTATACTGCAGCTTATTACATGTCCTCTGAACTTGTAGGTCATGCCCATCCGTCCATGCGCACGGTTAGTTGGTTTGTTGTCGACATTGTCACGTCATTCTCATTTGTATTTCCATACTGCATGTTAGCGCACTTGATTCAGCACGTAAAGCCTACTGCACTATTATTCCACGGACATTCACACCCGTGGGAGTTACCTGTTGAAAACATGAGGTGTTATGAAGGATGTGCAGACTTTCTACACGCACATGAAATTCATCACGACAACAAGATAGTGATGCGTCATATCGGTGCTTTTCAATTTGAATTTTTTGTTGTAAGAAACAGGGCTCAAGTTGAATTGCTCGATGCTCTAGGTGAGGGCCACGAATGTGATGTGAGCGAGAATACGGAAGGCGGTATAATATCTGTACCAGCAAGTTCGAGCATCCAACCAACTCTTTTGACGTATGAGCTAATAGGATGCAGGACATTAATGATTAGTAACTTTGAGTTGACGTGTGAACCCGGACTGCTAACAGACTACATATACATACTCGACGTACACTGACAATGACTACGTAGATGTTTTACATGGAAACAAAACAATAAGGTTTATAATGGTCACTACAGTCGTGCGTACAAACAATAAGGTTTCATAATCAGCTGCTGAGATAGCTGAATATTAGTTGCGCGCCTACCCCGACCACCCGTTTCTCGACCACGACGCAGATGTGCCCTATCTCGCTGGCCATCACTACGGGGTGGACTTAATGGTTGATCCGGCAGGGGGGCAACCTCAATTTCATCAAGGTTCATGTGCAATAGAGGCTCATACTTGGTGCCGACCACGAATTGACGCGAAGTGTCAACAATATCCCTTAACGCTTGCTAGTGGTTATCCAGATTGTTAAGTGCTTGAGTGCCTCGTATGGTCAACCTTGTTAAGGTATGCATCTAATCATAAAAACAAAAATAATCAACTACTATTAAAAACATCATAACCATTTAAAAGATATGTAATCCAAATAATAAAAAAAAAATTAACATACTAACCGCTTCGTTGAATGAAACCGCACACTGCACAAAACCCTCGTTTTGGTAATGCATCGGGTTACCAATGACACAGCGCCCATGCCGGTAATACCAAACCCGGTACGCATCGTGCGCTTGCGGTTCAGCAGTAAGATTCATTTGTACAACATATTGATTTCGTAAATTCCACACAGCAATATGCTCATGATGTTTCTCTAACCAATTTGTACCTGTATTACCACGTTGGTCAATGTCGTGCAACGCTTGCGAGTATACCACAGATGGTGGGGTAATTGTAACCCATGGAATTGCTTGCAAAATCGCTCCGGATAATGATATTCCACAACATGATAGAAGATAAGTGGCACATGGGCTGTCCAAAGCGCCGATCCGGCCTTGCAGTAAAATGGCAGTTCCTCGATCAATCCAGCATATGGAGT